GATGTATTGTCTATTTTACAGAGACCCAACCAGACATGTTCACATACAGCCGATGTTACAAAGTTGGATCCTTTCCAGCCTCGCGAGGCCGGGGACGTGATCTTAGAGTGACTGATGACGACAGACAAGTCCCAAGACAAGACGTCGTCTGCGGAAACCAAATTACAGCTTCAAGGTCACGTCGACCTTGAGGACGAGCTGAGACGACAGACAGATGACCTCAGCAAGGTCAGACAATCATTGAAAGGGATGACAGAGCACAGTGGGGGAGGGAGTGATGCAGGGATGTTAGGTGCGTGTTGTGGTCGCGTGCCAACTGTAATCCAGCTTCTAGTTCAAGGTTGATGGTTCGAATTTAAATAATGACAAACAGCGAAGTAACTCGCTCAAAGAATAAAACTGAGATAAAGCAAGGGGTTCGTTTTGCCAAGTTAATTAATTACATTTAACCTAGAGCTCCAGGAAACAGCTGCTTGGTCGTCCCAGGCTTGTTAGCCTCAACTAGACTAACATGTACAGCTCTTTCTGAAATACAATAGAAAAACGTAGCCAAATTGGGAAGAATCATTGAATTTGCCAGGGGACTTTGGTCAGCATAAGAATGGGAAATATTACCCTTACTGCGGGCTAACTCTACTTGATAACTATTAACCCTTTGGGGGCCGAATTCTACTTCTTCTACTATTCTATGACCACTTAGAAAGGCCTGCTGGAGGCTACTTACTAGTATTATTTGCTAAAATCTACTACCCATAATCCCTTAGAAAGGCCTGGTGGAGGCTAATATTTTTGCCGAAATCTACTATCCATAGCCCCTTAGGAAGGCCTGGTGGAGGCTAATATTTTTGCCGATATCTACTATCCATAGCCCCTTAGAAAGGCCTGCTGGAGGCTACTTTTTTTGCCGAAATCTACTTTCCATAACCAATTTGAAAGGCCTGGTGGAGGCCAATGTTTTTGTCGATATCTACTATCCATAGCCCCTTAGGAAGGCCTGGTGGAGACTACTAGTTTTGAACAATTCTACTAGCGAAACCCCCTTAGGAAAGCCTATTGGAGGCTACTTATTATATGCCAAAATCTACTATCCATAACCCGGAAGGCTTGGTGAAGGCTACTACTTTTGCCGATGTCTACTATCATAGCCCCTTAGAAAGGCCTGCTGGAGGCTACTTATTATTTGCCGAAATCTACTATCCATTGCCCCTTAGAAAGGCCTGGTGGAGGCTACTATTTTTGCCGAAATCTACTAGCGAAACCCCCTTAGGAAAGCCTATTGGAGGCTACTTATTATATGCCAAAATCTACTATCCATAACCCCTTAGGAAGGCTTGGTGGAGACTACATGTATAGCTACTCTTTTCGCCGAAAGCTACTATCTATGACCGTTAGGAAGGCCTGGTGCAGGCTACTAATGCTTGACACGACAGATGGAAACCACAGCGGATTGAAACAATGCATGTCATTGGTACATGTAACTACAAACAACGTTATCAACTCATGAGTCCGACTGGCAAACGGTGCCAAGTCTTTCCCCGAACCTGTTTAACAATACAGAGGGCCTGCAAGCCCTTTTTCGTAAGGCGTAATCAGGCCGTTTTAGACTTCGTAATTCGTAGGCAGCCTCCGCAAAAATCAACGTAATTCGTAATGGACATTAACCGCAAATCGTAAAGTCGTAATCAGCTCTGAGACTTTAACGTAATAGGCGGCGAAAATTTTGCGTAATTCGTAATCACTACCCCCCTGCAGGCCCTCAACAATGATCAACAATGTTATCAACTCACGAGTCAGACTGGCAAACAGTGCCAAGTCTTTCCAAGACCCTGTTTAACAATACAGACAAACAATACCAAAACAGTTACAGGCCAAAACATCCCACTGTAACTAAAAACAGAGGCAGACTTCTTGGCTCGATTTCAAGAAGGAGGAGGAGAAAAAAGTGGCTTAGGAAACGATTACAGACAGAAAGAAAAGAGCACGTGGCGTGGGGCATTGTTCACGGTATATTAGTGTTGACAGGTCTATTTTCAACTTGGCCTTTGCTTATCACCAGGTTGGTTGAGGCCTTGGTTAGATGGATTATTCTGAAGAGCTGCTTATAGAAAACACAAGGAGTCAGCAACAGTTTTCAACAAGATGTGCAAGTCAGGAGTGTCAACATGTCAGCATTTTCTGCCTCTGTTTGTGCATTTAACATTTGCGCTTGTATAAAAACTTGCAAGGATAGGCATACACATGTAGAAGGTCATAAACGTACATGTATGACATTCAATTAAGCTGAATGTTCCATTAAACTGTCTTTCATGGCTACTAAGGCTAATGCGTGTATGCGTGCGTGCGTGTGTGTGTACGTGTGTGTGTGTGTGTGTGTGTGTGTGTGTGTGTGTGTGTGTGTGTGTGTGTGTGTGTGTGTGCGTGCGTGTTCATACATTTTTTTAAAGTGGTGGACACACTTAATCCAAACCTGGTTGCACCACTGTATTCGTCATTAAGTCTTACTTCAGATCCTTTGAAGTCTGGCCGTGGAAGCCAATGATCAGGTGTATGGTACAAAAGCATCACAGTGCGATTTAGGGTAACATTGCATAAAGGTATTGACAAGACGTTGTGCAGAAAGAAATCGCAAGGAGGCGCTATTAGAGTGAGTGTATGCCAGACCATGAAGTATTACAATATGTTACACGTTCGTGAGACATAATTTCGCAAAAGCCCTCCTTTCCTCGGAAATAGATGTACTCCCCTGGGGTGAAAAAGAGGCATATACTTCAATCAGCGATGCCAGAATGTCTTTTATTTCTTTACTTTAGCAAATAGTCTTTTGCAGTTATTTCAAGATCATGGTACATGTATAACTGTTACTATGCCCTATATGCATGATAGAAGTAACCCTACACAGTGGGTTTAGTATATTTTACCCTCCAAGCAGAGGTTTTGACTTCGACGTATTTTCGACACATTTTTATCGGGCTTCCTTTTTGTACTGGTATCCTTTTTTTTATGCCAGCCAAATTGATACTGCCTCGCAAATTTCATACTGTCTCACAGCCACCAAAAGATCTGCCCGGAGACCGGTATGTTTTACATACATGTAGGATGCAAAACAAGACGTGCCATCTTCCCGGATATGATGACTTTATTTATTAACGGGGACATCCAGGCCTCTCTAATTTCTGTCGGAATGTTCGGATCGGTTCAAAAATACGTGAGAAGATATTCGAGGTCGAACCTGAGGCTACAATGTCTTGGGCTCGTGCCGAGATTTGACAATTTCGGAGCTTTGTAAGGCCATGTTGATTTGATTATATGGATGGCATCCGCGCGCGCATGAATTTTCGGCCGTTTTCAACCATACTGTACATCGTACAAAACAGTTGCAAGTTGCCCAAAAAAAATACTGGTACCAATGTAGTAGAATGCCAAAATTAAACGAAAAAGACGAAAATATTAAGAAATGAATTTGAAGAGTAGATTATTCGCCATATTCTGTGTGTCATTTGTTCAATGACCACGTAGATTTCAGAATAAAGGCAACTATTTTTGGCCAAACTTTTTTATTCACACGCTCGCATCAGTTTTGGTGTTTTCAGAGGATGTCATCCATATAATCAAATCAACATGGCCTGAAGTATGCAGATCGCGAACTCTAGGCAGTTGGGCTAACACAACTGAGTAAGTAAATCATACACAGAAGGGCCACTCTGACGCGGTGTGCTCAGAGTTACGACCGTCGTGGGATTTTCAAAGGAAAGGTAAAGAGTTTTTGTTTGAGGTTCTTGCCGCTGTATTTTTGGGAGTTTCTACTTTCAGATAGGAGGTAGATAGATCCATTAAAGGCTTGTTTCAGTGGACTGGGCACGGGTTGCAAACGGCTTATTGTATCCAGAACTGTGCCTATCTAGTTCTCTACCTGAATGGGCTAGGACAGTCAGGCACGGTTCTGGATACTAGACTCTAGTATTTTGATGAGCGAAGACTTCTAGAGTCTAGAAGTCTTCGCTCATCAAAGAACGTAGGCTGGCCCCAGACATGGTTCTGGATACGCGTGGACTATCCAGAATTAACCGTGCCTGAGCATGGTTCTGGATAAAACACGGTTCTGGATACAACACGACTCTAACTCAGGTGACCTCAATGCGACAGGGTTGCGTCAGGTAAGGCTATTTCATCGGTCTGCCCACAGTGCTATGTACACATCGTATCCATAGTCTTATCTCCAAGTGTTTGACGTACCGAGGATGTGGGGCTCTCTTCACACCTGCAGTTGTTGTTCCTATTGTGATAGCGCGGCTCAGAAACCGTCAAGAAATAAACAGATTGGCTACGGTGATTAGGATGTGTTTACGAAGTGTCATCTGAGTGTTTGAACGAATTGATGATCCAGGTAATTGATTACACCCCATCCTATCGACTAGCTATATATAGCGTAACATGGTGTTGTTTTCAGCAGGTGAACAGTTGAAAAGGGGGTCGTCAGCAATAGGTTTTTCCTCTTCCGCTTTAATTGGCTAGCTCCTTTGACTTTAAAATTCATAGTCCCCCTCTCGTTTCACTTCAGTACCTTCCTCAAGAAGACAATGTTTTGACGACATTTAAGGTAGTTGATAACAGTTAGTTGCGTACAGTATACTGGATTGGTATGATATTTTGTGAGTTGATAGATTTGGGGTTTAGCCTCCTGGCGGCTTTGTCTGGAATTGCAGCTCTCTGCATCTTTCGATACGAGCATCGGATGTGATGTTTACTTTGTCTTTAGCTTAGCCGCAGGGAACAGTCAATAAGTGTTAGATCGATATCCCATAGGAGCTTACATTTATACTGAAGAAGCTCCAGACCCCTTTAGAGCCGTCACCCCTCCGAAATGTTACAATGGCACAGTCCTAATCCGGAGGGTTTAACCTGATATTATTAGTTAGATAAAGATCTTTCCACAAACAACGTTGCGGTAAAACAAAACACAGAACGGTTCCGTTTGGTTCTTCAGCGCAGTGGTCTGATCCGGCAAACCTGGGTCGATATCCTAAACATCCACTACAACAGGACACGTCGATCGAACAGTGTGCCTTTTTCAAAACTCTCAAAAGAATTCTTTGAGAGGTGGCGACCTTGGAAGCATAAGACAGGACCTTGGGGGACTATAAGAGGTAGGTACGTTGATATCCTCGTTATATAGCGGAGGAAAGAAGCTTTAGTCACATTCCTGTGGCTTTGGGTAAGTTGCCAATTGAATCAAAAGCCTATCTGTTAATAGCTGGTCTACCTGTCAGACAAGTTTGATACATGTATACTATTTTACCTAGACAGTAGCTGTGGACTGTAACCCTCCAAGCAGAGGTTGTTGGACAAGATCTAGATTTTGACCTTTCTATCATATGCCCCATTTTCAATCTGTCGCTACTCTCCAACACGACAAAAATGGGGCATACGATAGAAAGGTCACAATCTTCCCCACCAACCTCTGCTTGGAGAGTATAGACTGTAGTGTACTAACTGTTCTGTAGTGCTGTAGAACTCGTTTTGACTTGAAATATGGCTTCAGTTGCTAATTGACGCAATTACAGTGTCTCTAGTATTCGGTAACCGGTCTACCTGTCAGGCCAGTTGATATACTGTTTTACCAAGCCTAGAGTGACTGTTCTGTAGTCAGTCAATACAATTCGTTTTCATGCTTGAATTGTGACTTCGTTGTGTGTATATAATCTCTGCCTCTATACCTAACGTAACATGTAAACCCACTGTACACATATACTGAGTCGATTGTCTGTTTGGTACTAGCCTTCGGGCGTCCGTTTGTGATATGTGAAGGTGTTCTGAGGGAGGGGCGTGTGCATGTACTGGATTTTGTAGACACGATTCCAGACAAGACAAGGGTCTGCAGTGTCAACAAAATGGCGAGAATGCACTGCTTATTACTAATGATTAGTGTCACACCGTGCTTGCGTGTATAAAGGAGAGGGTAATACCAGTTCTACTGAAATATCGTAGCCTCTACCAGGCTTCAGAAATGACTGGAAAGAGTAGAAATTGGCCAAATAGACAGATAACATGCAAAGGGGTGTTGGTCCTCCAAAGGAGTACAGTTTGCCTCTTCTTTAGCGGACCAACTCCCCGGGCATGTCTATTTAGCCAATTTCAACTACTCTTTCCGATACAGTCGTTTCTGACATGGTAGAAGCTAATACTAATAGATGTAATCGTTTCCCAACTTTCTTGGATCTACCTGCAATTTGGCAGACCAAACTTCCCTTTATTTAATAGTACTGTGTTGTCACATATTCTTTACATTGAGGCGTTTAGAAGTACAACTAGTAAAATCTCAAGTGGTCAGCACTGTAGGGGGCCGGGGTGGGGGTGGGGGGTAGGGGGGTAGTAATTAGTTACGT